GGCCCGCGGAACAAAGGCAAAGCTTCAGTGTAGGGTGTTTAGCCCAGGGTAACCCTAAACCCTAAACCTAAACCCTAAACCCTAAACCAGAAACCCTAAACCCCGGGTAACCACCCCCAAAACCCTAACCCTGTTCGCCCTAGGCCCTCTAGTGGGGGTGCACGGGGCTACCGCTGGAGAAGGTGTCAGGGGCTGAACTGAGGAGAGTTTAGGGCTTCTGGGAAGTATTGTAATCTGCTGTGGTATATCGGCTTTCTATTTTCCGGCTAAGCCGGAAGATCACGTTGAACGCTAAACCCCTAAATGCTATCAAACGACGCTGATTGGGCTCTCATTGGGCTGATTGGGCTTGGCCTGTTTAGGGTTTGGGGTTTAGGGATGCTTGTGGGTGTTTAGGGTTTAGGGTTTAGGGTTTAGGGTTTAGGGACCCTCAACCCTAAACCCCAAACCGTGTTTAGAGGCTACGACACGGCTTTTTCTGCAGCCGCAGATCTTCTCCGGCAACCTTCTTGTGAAACGCTGGAAGCGAACGAGCGAACTGGCTTCAGCGAGCTATCTGGGAGCCTGGTATCTTCTGAGTGTCTGGGTCTAGGGTTCAGGGTTCAGGGTTTAGGGTTTCGGGCTTAGGGTTTAGGGTACCGTAAACTATTAGCGGCCGTGCGCGCAGAAGGCATAAAACCTAGCTCAACAACAGCCAATACCGGCTCCGCCTAGGTCTCATCCGTACTTGATAGCCTTCATTGGCACCTCTCCGAGGTCCATCGGAGGCAGGGGAGCGGCGTCACCAAAGTAGATCCCCAAGTCCTGCCGCATTTTGGAGCGTACGATATGATGGGAATTTCGGGTCGGGGGTTTATGCAGGGTTGCACTCACTGTTAACATTTTACTGGACTGACATTGCACACACATTAAGTATAACTAATATATATATATATATACGTAGACATATGTCGCGCCATGATTTCATCATACCCTCCAACTTTTATATAAGGTGGGGCACAATAAAAAACGTCGGGCACCTGTTTAGCCAAGGACCCAGGTCTCCGGGATGCTTTCAACATGACATGAAACAGACATGCAATTCCTGTCATGTTGGTGAGTAGGAATTAGGGTATAGTGTATATGGTAAGTACAGGGTATAGGGTATAGGGTTTAGGAATTTAGGGTTTAGGGTTCACGGTTTGGGTATTCTAGTCGACTGTCCAGCTTGCCCTCCCCAGCAATCCTCATGCCGGATGCGCGAATGTTTCGACGGCTTCCAAGGCAAAGACCTGAGGAAACACGGCGCCCCGCGACATCGCTTCTCTCTCCCTCCTGGGTTTAGGGTTTAGGGTTTAGATGTTGTGGTTCAGGTGTCTATAGGGTAGTGCAACTTCTGGGGAAAAGATGAAGCCTAAAACTATCCGGAACTTGGAACCCTAGCACAAAAAAAAGAAAGCTGTTTCTGAGGAATTATTTTACCAAGACTTAACACAAATTCCTAAGTATCCCAAAGAAAACGGATCCTAGCGGCTTTATGGCTCCTGATGCTTCCTCAGTTTCACTCAGCCAGGCGGCGGCCCAGAGGGTACCATGTTCAAGCCTGGCGCAAATTGGGGGGGGGGGGGTGCCATGGAGTGAGGGTCCCCTGAGGGGGGGTTTAGGGTTTAGGGTTTATAGGTTTAGGGTTTAGGGTTTGGGGTATGCGGGGCTGGCTTTCTGACGGTTTTAATTGCGCTGGCTTTCTCAACTGTCAACGGATCTGCGGGCTCACCATGGCACACCCAAAGCGCTGCCACAAGGTTCAGAGCACGGCGGAGAGAAATCTTCACAATCCAAGTCGGGGTTAAAACGGTTCAGGCTGCAAGGATTTGTTAAGGGGTGCTGGACTGAGGGTTTTGGATCCTTACGCGGCCTACTCTAGATCCGAAGCTTTGGAGGTTGTGTTCGGGTGCTGTTGTAGGGTTTAGAGGTAAGGTGGGGTCTACACAGCCTCAAGTTTCCCGAGCCTTCGGACGGTTTAACAAGCCCAGGAATCGCACGGCTTTGGGTTCTGAACAGGAGCCCCGCGCCGCTCCGAACACTTGCAGGCTCGACCGTAAAGCCGAAACCTTTGGAAACCTGAAAACGAACCAGACCTGCCCTAAACCTAAAGCCGCAGCCCTACCTTGAAAGCAAGTAGACGAAAATTGTGGACTACAGCTGCCTATTTTGGGGGTACGGTAGCTTCAGGCGTTGAAGGTATGCCGCAAACCCTAAACCCCTGCATCACCAACGAAGTGTAGACTCCCGAGGTGCATGTTGCGTGGTTATGGGTTTAGGGTTTAGGGCTTAGGTCTTAGGGTTTAGGATTTAGGGTTTAATGTGCTTAGTTGCTGGAGTTCATAGGCCCCCAAAAAGTGTACACTTTCAGTTCTACAGGGGATTATGGTATCCCAAAAAGCGTAAAGGAGACCTTTGGTTCGAATAAACGTGCCTCTCCGTGCGCAGATAGGCGCCACTCCTGCATACTGCGGGTTCTAGATATGGGGGTTTACGAAAATAGGGGACCCCAATGGAAATTCCCAAATAGTAGGAGCCCCTGATAATAAGGACCCCAACAAGGTGCCCCCTAATTTCGGAAACCCCCCCCATATTATGGGGTTTGGAGGCTTTAGAGGGGCATTGAGATTCTGGGGCCTTGCGCAGATTGAGGCAGGCTGTGAGCCTGTGGGTGAATGAACCACTAGCCACCGAGGAAACGGGCGACCTTGGGCGAGTTTTCGCGGCCCCCGCGACCCCAAGTCACAAGCGAATCCGTAGCTCGACCGACATTTAAAGAGAGGCTCAGGGCTTAGGATATATTAGGGTGCATGCAGGGCGCACGGCACTGGGGGTGCAAGGTGCTGGGGGGGTTTATAGTTTAGGGGACCAGGTTGCAGATTTCAAGGCCTACGCAGGTCACCGAAACCCTAGCCACCTAAAAACAGCTCTAAACCATGAAGCGCACTGGGGAAGGCCCAGCCTGTAGCTCGATGGGAGAGCCCCGGCACGAGGACGATGTCATGCCTCGTTCATATGGTGAGTTCTTTAAATTAGGGTCACTTGGTGGGTACCCTAAATAAGAGTGGCCGCCTTAAGGACCCTAAAAGGGACCATAATGTAGAGAATGCACCATATGTCCGTGGCCGTCGAGGCCTGTGCTTGGATGAGCCCAAAGCATGGGCCCCCATGAGGACACTGCACCAACCCTTTTGGCCCGTGGTCTGCAGTCTTGAGGCCTGGGTCCTACGACAAGAGGCATGAGATACCCGAACACAAATCGCATTAACCATAACAGATACTCTTATACCTTGCGCCTTCTACAGCAGAGTCTACCGAAGCAAGCATACCTGAACTTAGCACTTCTATCCATAAGGAAACGCACCCATGCTGACAAATGAGGTCGTCTTGCGTGACTTTCGGGGGTCAGGGCTTTTGGGTTTGTTCTGGCCCCCCCCCCCCCCCCCCTCCCCCCGCCCACGCCTCCCCCCCCCCCCCCCCCCGCCCCACACACACACACACACACATGTACACACGTTTTAGGTGTCTGGATACAAATTTAACCTTTAACTCCGACTATGACAAGCTCGTGCTGAATCACCGAAATAACAAAAGCCAAGTCCCCTAAGTCCTGAACCCTAAACAACTTCAACACGTCCACCCTGACCCACTCCGCAAACAAAAATCGCCAACAACAACCATGGCACCTCATAGTTAGATTTTTACATCGTCATTAGATTTTACATCATCAGAATCAAAAAACCCAACTGCCTGCCTAGACACGCAAAGGCCTGAGCTGAGACCAAAAAGCCCAGAGTCTTAGGAGTCTTACACACGTCCGAAACGCAGCAATTCCATGACAGGCCCAAACCCTTTAGATACAGAATCCACAGGTAACCCGTCTGAACCTCCAACTCCACCCACAAAAAGCCCTCAACCCAGCCCAAACCCCAAACCCTAAGCCCTAAGACCCTAAACCCTAAGACCCTAAGACCCTGAGACCCTAAGATCCTAAACCTAAGCCCCTGAACCCACCCTACATGACTTGGCCCGCAGCTCTCCCGAAAGGAGGCCGCACTCGTGGAGGCTACGGGCGTCCTCGACCGGACCGGCCGGCTGATGGGGGGTGAGGGGTTTAGGGTTTAGGGTTTTAGGGTTTAGGGTTTAGGGCTTGGGGTTTAGGGTTTATGACTTATATGGGGTTTGGGGCTTAGGGTTTCTAGGGACCCACTCCAAGGAAGCCAAAAGGGGCGACTTTGCCCCTCTCAGTCCTGGAGGCAGCAGGACCGCCAAAACAGCCGCTGATCCTTCAGAGCGATCAAGCTGCGCATTTGAGGGAACTTGGGGAACTTGGGGAATTTAGGGAATTTGGGGAATTTAGGGAGCTTGGGAAACTTAGGGAATTTAGGGAACTCGGGGAATTTAGGGAGCTTGGGGAATTCGGGGAATTTAGGGAACTTGGGGAATTTAGGGAGCTTGGGGAATTTGGGGTTTTGGGGTTGCTGGGTTTTTCAAGGTTTGAGGGGTCTGCGGTGCGGCGCCCCCGAGCCCTCAACCCCAAACGCCGCAAGCTGCTTCGCTGTTGGTCCTGCACTAGTCTTCGGCGCTTATAAGTTCCGAGGTCTACCCGACGCTCTTTTCTGCGCAGCCCGAGCGGAAAATCTGGAGACGGACCCGATTTCGGGGCGTCTGGAGTTTAGCGTTGTCGGCAATCTAGTTTTATGCAACTTGGGCTAGCCGACTATCATTCTCATGCCTTGGACATGCCCACCACAAGCCAGCCCTTAAAAGCACTTCTGCTCAGAAGGTCAAACTCAAACACGCAAGCCCAAGACATCTAGAAAAGCCTGGAAGCCACCGAGTCTGTCAGGGGCTGGCATCTGAACGCAAATCCAAACCACGAGAGTCCTAAACCCTAAACCCTAAACCCTAAACCCTAAACCCTAAACCCTAAACCCTAAACCCTGAAACTTTTAACCCAGACATCCCACGGCTCCGACTCAGAGGCGAGATTGAACCTGCTTCAGGTTGCTTTGGTTTGTTTCTTCTCCGGAGGTTTGATCGTTCGGGATAGCTTGCAAGAGGTAGGGGTTTCAAAGTCTAGCATTTTGGCGCGTGCCGTCAACAAGAGATAAACGAATTCACCCGATGCTGGCGTTTGGACATCTGGACTACATCTGGACTACAGCAAAAGAGGTAGCAGCAGACTGTGGGGCCAGGCGCAGTGTGTAGGGCCCGAGTCACAGCGACAGGCGCTCATTAGCAGGGCTTCAGTGCGAGTGCCAGGCACCTCCATCGCGAGGTGCATGGCGACCCAGATGTGCTGCAACCGAGTGGAGATGAGTACCCTAAACCCTAAACCCTAAGCCCTAAATCCTAGACCCTAAACCCTGAAGAAACTCAAGGCCTCGGCCCAGCGAGCCAACAGCGAAGGAAGCTCAGCCAGTGAGGCCACGGCGGCATGGGGCGCGGAGGGCGCGGAGGGCGCGGCAGCAGTTGCCTTTTGCTCAGGGCCGTTGCTACCATTTGCTTAAGAACCCCCCCCCCCAACAAAAAAACACAATGATCCCTATATTGCCCTTATAAGGAAGAACATTTTGTTTTTTTGGGGGTTCTTAAGCAATGAGTAGGTTGTGCTTTTGCTTCAGGATGCTTCCGGGCTCAGCAGTCTGACGTTTCAAGTTATGCAAGCCTTGTGGGATCTTTCTTGGGTTGGGGCTTACAGAACGTAGGTTTTGTGAGCTCAATCGACTTGTGTGTGAGCTCCATAAGAACCCTTCCAGGGGGTTGAAGGGAGCGTGTGCCTGAGCCCTCTTACCCAAAGTCCTATAACCCCTGTTTAGGCTTCAGGGGTCCTGAAGGCCTATTGGAACATGAAGGCCTATTGGAACACATCCCCAAAGACAACAACGCCCTTCAACATCAAGAGCCTGCCTTCAAACCAAGAGATACCAAGAAACACGATATCGTATCCACTCAAGAAAAGCGAAACCTCCCCAGACCCCGTAACTTCGCCATATACCCCACAAACCTAACACTCTGAGATCCCAAGAACGAACCCCAAATTTCAAACCCCTTCAAACCCGAGGCCCTTCAAATTGAAGCCCCCCTAAACCTCTAGAAGCCTTAAACCTCTTGAGATAAGGTTTAGGGTTTAGGGTTTAGGGTTTAGGGTTTAGGGTTTAGGGTTTAGGGTTTAGGGTTTAGGGTTTAGGGTTCAGAGCTTCTTAAAGCCCTTCAGCCTGCGCAGAGAGCTGGGTCCCACCGCGGCGCAAGTGCACGGCCCTAGGTTCCCGCAAGCTTGAGGTTGGGTTTAGGGTTTAGAGTTTAGGGTTTAGGGCCGTTTAGGGTTTAGGGTTTAGGGACCGCGTGCCTCGGACTGTCGGAACTGTTGAACAGAACCGGGTACGCAGGCCAGTCGAACGCAAGGACGTCTCTGTACGCTAGGTCCTATGGGTGTTCGAGCTCACGCCCTAAACAATCAGAACGCTAACCTTATACTCGAATGCAAACCAAGAAGCTTCATTCCCATCTGCCTCGCCCCCACTACGTCGTCCGCGAGCGAATCGCCGACGTGAAGAATCTGCACGCTCTCAGTTCCACGGCTGATCATAGCTCCAACTAGGCACTTAAGGGCCTGTGATCATAATGACCGCCAAAGGCAGAGGTCACACATGTACTTCCAGTTTAGTAAGCCAGAAGAGCTTCACAGACTCTGCGTATCTCCGAAAGCAGAGAGTTCTGATGGCAAAAGTGGACAGGACTCAGTAAGTCAAGAACCAGAAGTCCCGCTATTTGGGCAGGCTTCTCTTCTCGAAACCCTAAACCCTAAACCCTACACCCTAAACCCTAAACCCCAAACTCTAAACCCTAAACCCTAAACCCCAAACCCCAAGCCCTATAAACCCTAAACCCCGCCCACGCCTGGCAGGGCCAAAGTCCAGCAGCGTTGGCGGCTGCCAGGAAGGGTGCACCGCGGGGCTTCGCCGCCCCGGCACCGGCCGCTGAGATCTCCAGAGCTGTTTGGTTCTAAGTTTTTGGGTTCAGGGTTTAGGGTTTAGGGTTTAGGGTTTAGGGTTTAGGGCCACATGGAATTACTCTGCCCAGTTTGCCTTCTTAAGTCAGCTAGCCACCCGCTTTTTCGACCCATGCCCCAGCCTGGAAGTCCAGGAGCTGCGACAGCCCAGGCGCCTCAGCACAGCTCCCCCTTAGCCATCCTGGGCCATCCTCATACCCCCCTTGTAGGGTTTAGGGTTTAGGGTTTAGGGTTAGGGTTTAGGGTTTAGGGTTTAGGGTTTAGGGTTTAGGGTTTAGGGTTTAGGGTTTAGGGTTTCACAGGAGTGGATATGTGGGGATGTACTTTTTCAGATTTGAGAGATAGGGGTTGTCGACACAGGCAGGTGGAGACTTCGTGCTTACATGTGCTCACCAGCTGCAGCAGGCACCGCAAGAGTACTCTTTCCTCCTTTCCTCTGGGCCGCGCACCGTGCTTCCTGCACCCAAAACTGAGTGGTGCCATGCCCCCCTCTAGCCAAGGATATGACACTTTCTGCAACCTCAATCCTCACCCCGAAGCCCAAACCACCCCGGCTTCCGCTCACTGAGAGCGAAGCACACTTCCTATTCTTGGACTTCTAGATGGTGCATCGACCACTGTCTGACCGACTTCATGTCACAACGCCCTTGCAACCCTTCTCCAGCAGCCCCTGCAAGTGGAGATCGGCCCATTTGGCTCTGAAATATATAGGTTCAGGTTTCGGGTTTAGGGTTTAGGGTTTAGGGGTTTGGGGTGTATCTGTAGGTTCGCCAAGCCCAACACCCTTCCAATCCTGCCGAGTCGCGTGAGCGGACAAGTCCGCATTGCCGTTTGTGACCTTTGATGCTTAAAGACTGCAGGGTTCGCGCCCAATGTGCAGGTACCGGTAGTTGTTTAACAACCTCTGTGGCTAGAACAATTATGCGATTTCACCGCGAAACAAGCTCCACGAACCCGAGACAGGAAAGTACGTCCCTGCCAGGCTTTCGTGATAGCGATCGCACGAGGCTTAAGAGTCACGGAGGTTAAGGGATCCGAGGGTGCCTTGCCCAAAGTCGCAATCGGATTAACTATTGTGCTGTCACCTGCATGGCAACAGTTGCTGTTGTCCCTGAGAGATCACACTCTTATTCTCCAAGCATCTTCTCAGCACTATGTGGTTTCAACGCAAGTAAGGAGTGTTAGGCTGCCGTTCCCACGTGGATGGCTCGTGCTTGGGCTCGGGATCATGGGACCTTCGAGGAGTTGGTATCTTCAACCGTTTCATCGGGCGCGTCAGTATACTGACGATGGCTCTTAGTGTCCCTGGTCCTTACTAGGGAATGAGGGATTGAGGGCCCTACCCCTCATTCCCTCATTCCCTACTAAGAACCAGCCAGAAGAGCAGCCCATTGGAGAGCTCAAACCCTCAGGGACCCTCCCCCCTAAACCCCTAACCCCTAAACCCTAAACCCTAAACCCATCTTGGCACGCCCAAGGTGCGGAGCCCAGGCAGAGGCCGCGGCGCTTCAGCTCCGTGAGCGTGGGCAAAACGTCCTGAGGCCCGTCGGTTTGGGGTTTGAGGTTTAGGGTTTAGGGTTCAGGGGTTTGGGGTGTATTAGGTTGGTCGAAAAAATGGAAGGGTCTGAGCCCCCAAGTCCAGGAACGCTTCTAAGCCTTAGGCACTTCGGGGATTTGAGGATTCTGGTCAAGGGTATGGGTCGTCATTAAGGCCTAGATCGGATCGGAGTCGGGGTTGGCAGTTTGGGTCTATAGAGGTTGGAAAAACCCTAAACCCTAAACCCCAAACCCCAAACCCCAAACCCTAAACCCTAAACCCTAAACCCTAAACGGAAGGAGGACTCAAGATTCCGAAGCCATGGCACATCAAAGAGGTGCTGGTCCACCGCCCCACGACCGGCCAGGAAGGCGGCCATGGCGTGCCTCAGCCAAAATGCGCAAGAGGTTTAGGGTTTAGGATTTAGGGTTTAGGGTTTACGGTTTAGGGTTTACGGTTTAGGGTTTAGGCAAACCCAAACCTACAATTTCATGAAGCCCTGGAGGCTCGGAGGCCTTACATAAGCAAACCCCAGACAGAAACGCAATCGACGTCTTCTCCTGAAAGTGCGACGGTTGGTGCTGGATGACGTGTGACGACATTCGAAAATTTCTGTGGCTCGATTCCTCAATTTTAACTCGAACGAAGGCAAGGGCCGGCAGGAGAAGTGCCACATTTTGGACCCGGAAAATCTAGCGGAATCTAGCGAGTTTTCCTCGACAAAACGCTGCAGAAGTAGCAGCCCTATTGGTGGATGCGTCCCTTGCGACAGAAGTGCCAAGAAATCACAGGGCACCGGTTGGAGTCGCCATCCTCGGAACTCTCGTCTCGTTTGGAGCTTCGTCGCGTGCTGGAATGTCGGATATGTCAATGCTCGCAGGATTTTGCCTGTCAGGTGACTACCCCTTTTTCAGCAGTCGCCTTTGTAGTCCACGCGAACGAGACACACAGACAGGATTGGTGGAGCTCCGTAAAGATCATGCTGCGCTGCATTGATCTTCACATGTTGTGGGCCTAGAGACGGGCAGCTTTGTCAAGTCTGCGCTTTGATCAAAGCCTGGCGTGGAGCACCAAGAAACTACTGATGATGATGACGATGCTGATGATGATGATGATGATGGTGATGATGATGATGATGATGATGATGGTGACGGTGATGGCAAGTTGGAAAGGGTTCGGCTCGACATTTTGGGCTTTGTGCCGAAACGGCCACGCTTGAGCGTGAAAGCAAAACGCAGTGATGCAGCTGCATTTGCACAAGCGCAAACATGCATATGTTTGCCCGGCATGCAAACAACCATGAATACACGCACTCTTGACACACTGCTTTGTTTCCCCGCATGATGTCGTCCCCGTGCAAACCACAACGAGAATCATCGTGTTGCACGATGAGCTGCCTTTGCGGCACTTGGACGTTGTGTAATGCTAGAGCCTTGAGGGGCTACATGTAGAGGGAGGCTGGTTTGCAAGATTAGTCGGGGTGAAGATTCTGCCCTGAACCCTAAACCCTAAACCCTAAACCCTAAACCCTAAACCCTAAACCCTAAACCCTAAACCCTGAACCCTGAACCCTGAACCCTGGGTTGAGTTGAGGCTTAGTGGAGGGCTCAGCTGGTTTAGGGTTCCGGGACATGGGGGACTTGGGGAGTGAAGTCGGGTTCTTAACAGGGAACGCGGGCATAGGGTTTAGGGTTTAGGGTTTAGGGGTTTAGGGTTTAGGGTTTAGGGTTTCGGGTTTAGGGTTTAGGGTTTAGGATTTAGGGTTTAGGGATTAGGGCCCTATTTATAATTCCCTCATTCCCTACTAAGAGCCAAGGGGGGTCTAGAGTCTAAAGTCTATGAGTTCAAGGGTCCGAGGATCGCAGGGTTTTTTTATCCAATCCAGGCAAGCCGCTCCGCAATCTCTTTTGGGTCTACCTCGCGGGGCATGAGGCTGCACCAGGCACCCAGGACACATTCAACCAAACCCTAAACCCTAAACCCTAAACCCAAAACCCTAAACCCTAAACCCTAAACCCTAAACCCCAGACTCTAACTTGGTCCGCACCGGGTATAGTACTCCAAATAGAAAAAGGACAGCACACGACTGTCAATGCCTGAAGAACGCCTAGTGCAATTCGGGTTTGGGGTCAGAAGCCCAGCTACTGCTCCAAAGTTTCTTCAACTTCTCCAACTTGCCATTTTTTTGGCTGATCTCTCACTCTTTCATCGATCAGTGTTGCAGAAGTTCTTTCAAATATCTGGTGTTCCAAGACCTCTTCATGCCCTCTCCTCGCAAGACACGGAAAACCCTAAACCCTAAACCCCGAAACCCTAAACCCTATAAATCCCCAACTAAACACCCTAAACCCTAAACCCTAAACCCCTAACCCCCAAACCCGATGAAATCCCCAACTCTTCACTTCAGGGCTGGCTCTGGCCTCGGCCTCGCCAAAGCGCTCGACGAGGCGCTCCAGCGCCAACTGCCGCAGCTGGGAGAAGTCGTGGCGGAGGCGGGGGTGCCTCCGGGACAACTTGAGCCAGGCGCCTCTTGAGGGTTTAGGGTTTCGGGTGAGCCCTAAACCCTAAACCCTAAACCCTAAACAGTGGCGCTTTCGGAGCCTCAAGAAGGCCCTGAGGGTTTAGGGGCTGCTTCCCGGGCTGCTTAGGGTTTAGGGCTCGCGCAGCGCCGAGGCACAAGCTCATGAAGCGCTTCCTCATCTGCAAGAGGTACTTAAGCAGTCTCTGCAACAGAATCCGTCGGTTGATATACTCTGGAGGAATTGTAGTACCTATGTGACCAGTAGGACTCTAAACGGCAAACCTTGATAAGACTTAGTTTTAGATGTTGGAAGCTGAGGCTTCCCAACTCTCGCCCCAGCCTCGTCAGTCCTGCCCTAGCGAAGCCCGAAAGCCGCCCTCCACCCCGGGCTGAAAACCCCAAAATTCCCCCCCCACTTTCCCCCCCCAAGACCGCCAGGGTTGTTGGGCTTTGTGGGCCTTCAACCCTCAAACCCCACAGTTTTAGGGCCTGTGGGTCTGCAAAAGCCTGTCCTTCGGGAATTGCCGGGCCGTGAGTCTGAGGCCAAGACTCGCCAGCCACAGCCCGGAACCTGCTGAGCTGTCTGGTTAGGCGTGAAGTAGGCTTTAGGGTTTAGGGTTTAGGGTTTAGGCTTTAGGGTTTAGGGTTTAGAGGTTTTACAACCGACCCCCCAAAAAAGACAAGCCCGAGGAAAAGCACAGGACTTTCTACGGGTGGGCTCACGTTTTAGCTTAGGGCTTAGATGAAGCCATGAACAAAACCAGGTTCCAAAGTCCAAAGAGGCCGAAACGCCAAACCCTCGGACCAGGCAACGACAACCCTTGCATCCGTATTCCTCAAAGCTCAAACGGAACCTGAAACCACCAGAAAACCCAAAGTCCTTAAACCATCGCAATATAGGGGCCAGAAGAATTGGAATAAGGTTTTTTTGGGGGTTATTCTAGTATACCTACAAAGGGACCATAAGGGAATATTGTTGTAGTAATTTTTCCGACCCCTACGTTAACCCTAAACCCAAAACCCTAAACCCTAAACCCTAAATCCTAAACCCTACACCCTAGACCCTAAACCCTAAACCCTAAACCTAAACCCTAAACCCTAAACCCTAAACCCTAAACCCTAAACCCTAAACCCTAAACCCTAAACCCTAAACCCTAAACCCTAAACCCTAAACCCGAAACCCAATTAAGGTTCTAAGGCTCAAAATCCCCAACTCCTGCCGGGCAGCTCGTCCTGCATGGCTTCTCCAAAGCTCGCGCCCTGGAGATGCGAAGTGCCGCCAGGGTTTAGGGTCTAGGGTCTAGGGTCTAGGGTCGAGGGTTTAGGGTTTAGGGCTAGGGCTTGGGAGCTTCAAGGCTTCAAGGGGTTAGGCTCATTTGGGGGTTTACGAAAGTAGGGGTACCTTATTGGGGTCCTAATTTTAAGGTATATTGAATTAAGGGTCCCTTATTAAAACCCCTCATTTTGTCTTTGCAAGGTGAAGGCTAGGGGTTCGAGACCTCTCCCCTTCAGGGCTACTAAGGGGTTTAGGGCCTGAGGGTTCAAGGTTTTGGGCTCTGGGGAGTTCAGGTTTTGAGGCTGAAGTTACGAAGTTGCGAGGGCCCTAAACCCTAAACCCTAAACCCTAGACCCTAGACCCTAGACCCTAGACCCTAGACCCTAAACCCTAAACCCTAAACCCTAAACCTAAACCCTAAACCCTAAATCCTACACCCTGAGCTCGAAGCTTCTTGGGAGATCGCGAAGCAAAGGGCCCGCACAGACACTTCGGAGCATAGATACAACGAATCTTTTTTTATCTCATACATACAGCATACATATACAATGTAAGACATATATATATATATATGAGGCAGGAACCTTTATGTATGATTTGACCTCTTTCTTTGTTTTCATACTAGCCTATACTACTGCTACGATTAACAGAGTTATCGAATAGGGCCATCACGCTCCTCTGAAGACTGCTTCAAAACCCCAACACTAAACCCTAACCCTAAACCTTAAGCCCGAAAAACAAGAAATATAATAAAACAAGAGCCTACCTACCTCCCTAGAGGCGAAACAGAGAGACTACACCGTGTGTTTCTTTCGCACTGAACCCCAACGACCTACCCCTAAGCTCTAGGGGAGAGGACGCTGTGGGAACCTATTCTTGGGATAGGTTGTGTTTTAAAAAGATTATGAAACATTCGGACACGGTATCACGAGAATACTGTGAGCAGATACTTCATTTTTTGAATTCATGCCCGTGCATGCGAGTTCATGCCCGTTCATGCCCCGTGCACGCGAACGCCCCGCAAAACGGAATAACAACGATATACCCTCCAACTAACCTATTGTTGGGACAGGTGCTCGAACGAACACACGGTGAATCTGAAAGGTCTGGGGTTCATGGTTGAACAATAAACCCTATAAGGCTTCAAGGTGTGGGGACTACAAACCTGAAACCCTATAGGGACCCGCCCCTTGTGGAGCATTTAGGGTTTCACGTGTAGGGTTAACGGTGAAGTGTCTAGGGTTTTCTTTTCAAGCTCATCTATGCGACTCGCGCGATTTCTGATGGGAGAGCGGGCGTGCAGCTTCGCACATTGGCACACTGTGGGTCGAAATGCAACGGCAGCAAAGAGGCCGCAAGCAAAAGGCAAGGCAACACGTTTCGGACAGGCAGGAGCAGTGTCAGAGACCAAATGGTTGGGTTGCAGGCCAGCCACTTGAATAGCCCAGCCAAAATGACTTAGTAGAGGGGCCCCGACTAAAGCAGGTAGACCATTAACTTTCAGCCTTTCGCAAAATCGCCACGTTCGTTGCAAGAAGGGACCTCCTCCCCTGCAGCGGCTGAGTTCCCTTATACCATCTCTTTTGTTTTCTTTCTGTCCCTTGTTCCTATGTCTCCAATTTTGTCGATTGTAGGTATTCAAGGGAAGTGCTAAGCTACTAAAGAGGACAAATAAGGTTTCCCTGTCCCCTTTGGCTGTCCTGAATTAATCTTGTCTTTTCTCAGTCTGCACTCTGCGAGAGAGGAATGGACAGTAGAAGGGAAACAACAACGCATGGGCAAGAATGCTTCTCTCTCTTTTCTTATTGAGATGACTGGGCACATAAGACTGAGAAGAGACTCCCCTCCTGTCTGAATCTCTGCTTTGGCTCTTATCTTGCAGAGGAGAAGAACTTTTATATAAGAAGAGGAACCAGGAACAGACACCAGAGAGAAAGTGCAAGGAGCTGACAAGAGTGCTTCTCTCTTCTCTTTTTGACAAAAACCGAGGGAAAGAGAGTGAAAACAAGAAGCTTTGTTTTGTCCATTGCAGAAAGGGGGCTCCCTCTCCCCGTGGAGCAGGGTTGATTTCCCGTGTTCGCTCCCGTTTGCCTTCTTTCTCTCCTGCGCTCCTATGTCTTCTGTTCCTTTTTTTGAGGAGATTCAAAGGGATAGATAAACGAAAAACCCCCTGCGCTGTCCTTGATCTTGTCTTTTCTCAGTCAGCGAGAGAGGAAGACACAGTAGGAGGGAAGCTGGACAAGAGTGCTCCTCTCTCTCTTTTCTTATTGAGAAGACTGGGTACATAAGACTGGGAAGAGACTCCCCCTCCTCTCCGATTCTCCGCTCTGGCTGTTTTCTTGCAGGGGAGAAGAACTTTTATACAAGAAGAAGGGGCCAGGAACAGACAAGAGAAAGAAAAGTGCATGGAACTGACAAGAGTGCTAAGAGAAAGGGAAGAAAGCTTTGTTTTGTCCGTTGCAGAAGGAGGCTCCCTCTTCCCTGGAGCAGGGTTGATTTCCCGTGTTCGCTCTCATTTGCCTGCGATCCTATGTCTTCTGTTCCTTTTTTAGGGATAGATTGGTTTCCCTGTCCCTTTGATGTCCTTGATCTTGTCTTTTCTCAGTCAGCCAGAGAGGAAGGCACAGTCT